TGATGATGATGATGATGATGATGATGATAGTAACAAACGAGGGGAACATGTAGCCTGCATGCGAGCAGGCTAGCGGACATACATGTATGGAGGTATATAACATGCACTACTCTTTTTTCTGTTCACCTTGGGCAGCTTTCGTTTATCCTTCCCGTTATATGTAGGTTTGAAGCAAGGCGGCCAACATTATTTCCTATTTTTTGTTTTCTGGAAGTAACTTACTTCATATAACTGGAGCTTTCCCCTCTTCCGTAGAATTTATGTAAAACTTGGATGATCGAGTTATCCGGGAATTTGGAATAAGAAGCACTTGCTTCATACTCCAGTTCTGAGCATGCGTTGTTGCAGGAACATTCCGGGATGCTCACTTCTCCTGAAATTTATGAAAACAAAGTAGTTATGAGGTCAAGTAGTTTTGATCCAGACCCTGTATGCTCTTGTGGGACAATAATCAACTACATGACGCTAGAAATGGATACAATACGGTAGAACATTTTCACGAAGAAAAAAGCTGATTTGTCTTGCCAAGGGTGTGGTCACTTACGACATCAAGAAGTTAAATTTGTAAGGAGTAATATAATGTGTGGGTTTTTTTTTAACTTTTATGGTCATTTAAGTGAGGACAGCACAGTAAAATTCGCCTGCATAATAATAAACGTTTGTATCGCCACGTCTTACCTGATCGTCTCAACAGATCGATAGCAATGTGAATGCATCTTTTTACAACGAGCCGAGGTTAAATGCTCATGTTGGGGCTCATCAGAAGACGTACGAATCTTAATCATCAGTTAATATTTGGGCGATTTCTTGATTATCAGTGAACATTTCCATCCATTTTAAGCTATCAATAAATTTTGAAGATTGGATCTCGGCTATCAGTTGGAAAAAGCGTCATTCTTCTGCTCACTATAAACATTTGACAAATTCTCAGCGATCAGTGAAACTACATCCATACCTCTCTGATTATAAGAAGATTCGAGGTCATATATTCCTACAAAACCCTTTCTCAGAAATTATCATTTTTTGAACAGTTTAACTGCATTCCGGGGTATATCGACACAGAACGTTCATTTGGAAAAACTAATAGATGAGGCTCAAAATTAAAAATGGAAAATGGCTTAATAATAAAGTGCTAATTGTTCTATGAACATTGAAATCATTAAGTTCATGCTCTTACCTTGAGAATTTACAACACATTGCATGTCTTGGAAAGAGCACAGAGGTTTCAACTTTGGTTCTAAGAAACAAAACAAACAGAAATTTACAAACAAGAAAAGCTTAAATTGTTTTGCATTGTTTTTAATGCAGTCTGAAACTGCTTATGTGTCATATTTCAGAAAGCTTGAGATCTGAACAATTACAAAAACTATACATATTTATTTGAGAAAGTAACAATTAAATTCTTGTCAGGTTGCTTAATATAACATAAACTGCTGTTTTGATTTTTGACTGGATTAAAATTGAAAAATGTTTTTTGAATGGCTAAATCGCTTTATTAAAAATGGTGGTCTTTGTGTTGTGTTCTTGGGCAAGACACTTTACTCTCACACTGCCTCTCTTAATCCTCAAGCAGATGTACAAATTCTGGGAGTAACCCTGCGATTAAACTAGCATCCCATCCAGGGGGGAGTAGAAATACTCCTAACCGCTTCATGCTACAGAAACCGAGATAAGCTTCAGGTTGATGGCCACTTGGTTCATATGCAGACTAGGCCCTTTATACTAAAAAAATGACACAATTTAGATCTTACCTGGCATTCCAAGACGACGGCAGCCACATTTTTCTAGGGTCTTATTTGCGACACATTGGTAAAGGCAGCCGTCCTTGGTGTACGACCCAATTCCTGGCAGTTTATCCTGTTGGCATTTTGTTTTATATGGCGCTTGAAGTCTTTTGTGCTAGATTTGAAAAGAATTAGAAGAGGAATACCTGAAGAATGTCCAAGGTATTCAGTTTGGGGTTGTTTGCGCCCTTAACGCAATTCATAGGTCCAGAAATATTACAATCTTTAGCAATTCGATTGGATTGAAAAGAAGCCAGTTTGTATCGTGATTCGAAAATTGCAATTTGGGGTTTCCTAATTATGAATTTTGCTTTCTGAACACAAATTGGCAATCTAACAAATCAAAATAAAGAATTCAAATGCAAACAAACAAACAAGCAAACCAAGGAGGTCTACGCAGACAGCCAAGTGGTTGCAAACTGGAATAAGGTACTTTCACGACGAAAACAATACTATGGCAGAACATCAAGCATTACCAGAAGAAATGTTAACCAAAAAATAGGTTTCATTTATTCAGTTCCTGTTGACGTTATATCTAAATGACAGATTTCCCTACCCTTTCACATATCTGAAGGCTGAAAAAGGTTTCCCTTTCGGGCGGAGCCTCCCGCGTATAAGCCGTTATAGGGAGTATCCCCTTGGGCTTATACCTCATAGGCACATGAGATTGAATGATCTATTGAATGTGTGATATTATACCGGGGGGTACTCCCAGAAAAATTGTGTGGAGGTGTGTGGTCCGCCACCCAAAACCCTTACCCTATTTATGACAAAAATCTGCGATCCTCCCTACCCTATATATGACCTGAAAAAGTGAGCTTCCTCTAAAAAACATACCCAGTTCAAGACTAGGGTGCAAAAGCCATACCCTATTTATGACCAAAATAGCCAAAATCGATACCCTGCATTTCTGACCAAAACGGCTGAAAACCGTACACTTTCGGTCCGTACATACCTATATAGCCCATATAAGGGGGTCTCCCGCCAAGGGTATTATACCAGTAACTAACCTTTCTCAACTTGAGTGCGACTGACGCGTGCGTGCCGGGAAGGATGTTAAATCCAGAATGTCGGTTGACAAATGTATTTTGATCGTGCACAATCACTTTTAATCCTGTTGAAAACTCACTTAATGTGCTCTCATTCAGTTGAACATCGAGTACAATATTTAGCCCAAGGTCAGGGCCTTCTAATATAGCATGAAGCACGGAGTTATTTTGACCAGAGTTGAAGGTGTGACACAAGCCATACTGCGTTAAGATTGGAACGAAATCTTTATCCGAACAGGTGTCCTCTTTCATGAAACGGCAGTAGAGAACAAACATACTCGCCATGTCATGGCCATACTGAGAAAGAAATTCTTCCTCGTTAAACAGACGATCTGATGAGTGGTTGAGTGCCTTGATTATGTTTTGTCGCATTGTCTCATTGCAGCCGTTAACCAGGACTGTCCCATACCACACATATGCACACAATAACGCTTGGCCACACGTAAGATTTCCACGAACTTGACGTATCTCGCTGCATCCACTTATGTTCAATCCCATTTTTGCAAAGTTTTCATCCTCGTCTGCCACATCTATCTTGGATTTCATAAACTTGTTTAAATTGCAGATTGTCACAGCGGGGAATTTCAAGCCATCTGCCGGCGTTGTTTGGGATACTACTGTCTTCATTGGCTTCGACTTGAATTTGCGTACGCTGACAGACAGAAGATACAAAAATGCGGCAGAGGAACTCCATAGGAGTAAAAGCCAAATGACCCGTTTAGCTATTGAATAGCTCTTCTCGAAGACGTGTCTAAGCCCGTGAAGAGTTGTACTGCAGGCAAACACTTGCCATCTGGAATAAAGGCTTATGTTTTGGATTAGTTCCATTTTTACTTTGAAGGAATTGGTAGAAAACTGCTCCGTCACTTGCGTTGTCATTGTAACTCAGGGCACGTCACTAAATTGCTCGCTTTTCAATGTTTGCTTTCCAGTAAATTGCTTAAAACTAAAGTAGAAGATGGCTCCGTTGATGTATGGAAATAAAAATTGATACCTAAAAGGGGAAATTCAATAGAATTATTTTATGCCTCAATCAATAACATTTTTTTCATGGAATTCGAGATAATTCGATCCAAAACA